GATGGATGGATGGAGTCACTTTTTTATGTCTCTGTGGTTTTTTTGTGTCTCTAAAAAATGTCTTTAGGACTTAATTAAATTCTATCCTGTTATTAGTTTCTTTGTGTCTCTTTGTGTTCATTTGGATCTGCTCGTTCGTTTGTCTTAGTGGTCATTTAGTGTCTGTTCTGGTGCTTTTTGTGGCTGTTTGTGGCTGTTTGTGGTCGTTTGTGGTCGTTTTCTGTTTGGCTGCTGATATGAGGCGAGTCTTCAGCTACCAGCAGCTCGCTGGTTGTTTCCTTCAGCCCTCATGTGTTTATGTGAAGTGGATTTATTCCCCAGAGATGCACTGTTTGGTTCTGCTGTGATGTCCACAAGAACATCTGTGTCGTGACGGCGTGGCGTTGTGACGGCGTGACGGCGTGATGGCGTGATGGCGTGTGTTTGCTCTGTCGCCTGTGAAACTTTGATTAATTTGCCAAAAAGGGGGAAATGTGAGACTTTTGAGTCACTCTGGCTTTAATCAGCACAGATGCTGAACTTCTTCACCACACTCTGAGTTAATCCTCCGTAAATCCCTCCAACCGTGTGATGTAATCAAACAGCAGCGATGTCGTTGCGTAACAGCGAGTCACCTGACCTGATTACCTGCCATTTGATCCAATTAAACCCGGCGAGCGAGAGAATCCCTGATCAGCTGCTACGGCGACGGCAGAAACCCTGACGCAGCAGAAACGTCTTTGCTCTGCTGGAGGCCTGAAAGTTTAGATTCCAACACAGGAGGAAACAGAAATCCTCTGGAGAGCGTTTCTGTGGCGTCGCCTTTAAAAATGTGTGTCGGTGCTTTCGGGCCAGATCTCCGTGGATACGAGGCCGGACGCTCTGTCGTCATGCCAACCCGCCTCGAGACATTACTCACTGGATAAAGACGAGAGGAGGAGGAGGCGTTAATTGTTGCAGCGTGTTGAAGAGGATCCTAATGCAGCCACTGGCTTATGTAACACGACGACGCTCTGACAACAGCATCGGCTGTACGGAGAAGCTTTGGTCCAGCTCATCCTGACTCCTGGTCTTCTTCTCATTTCTATGTAGGCTCCACACAAACACCTTCCATCCAATCAGATTCATCCAGACTGAAGCCGCCACCTCCTTGAACCCAGCGGTGGGCGGGTCTTAGCGTCCGACATCGTCTCCTGCTTTATCATCGGTTTTCCTCCAAACTGGACCAAATGGTCCAGAAGGACCACCGCCTTGTGTTGGAGGAGACCTGAAACCAGCAGCCCAGACCACAAACCGACCAGAGAAATGTGTCCTGAGCTCATAAACCAAGTGAGAATCTGCACAGTCACACTTGTTGTTGCAGCCAGAGTCGCCCCCTGCTGGCTGCTGGACAGAATGCAGGTTTCAGTGGTCGCTTTATTACTGTACAGTCACTGTTTGCACCTGAAGGTCTCACTAGAAACCAGTCACAATGTCCACCTGAACGTCCAGGAGCCTGAACGTCCCGCTGAGCTTTGTTCCCACAGCAGGTCAAAGCTTCGATAGGAACCGTTACAGTTTTTCAGATTTCCCCTGAACGCCACCTGACAGCCCAGCCTGGACGTTGTTGTTGTTGTTGTTGGTCCTGTGGTTGTGCCGTCCCCTCAGACAACAAGTCAACACGTCCCTCCATGAAAGCTGCTGCACCTTCAGAAAGCACTGACCCCCATATGAGAACCTTTGTTCATGTTCCAGCCATAAGAACCGTTCCTGTAGAACCTATTGAACAAACTGCCTTCATCGGGTCAGTATTTGTTCTGTCTCCTCAGAACTTCATGTGGACCTGAGTTTCTGGATCGAGTTCCTCCAACAGTTCTTAGTTGTGCTCATTTTGTGTCACTTTGAGGTAGTTTTGTGTGTTTTGAGTCATTTTGTGCCTTCTAGTGGTTGCTTCATGTCCTTTTGTGGTCATTTTGCATCTCTTTGTGTCTCATTGTGGTCATTTTGTGTCCGTTTCTAATTGTTTTGTTTCTGCTTGCGACCATTTTCATCTCTTTGTGGTCATTTTGTGGCTTCTAGTGGTTGTTTCATGTACAGTTGTGGCCTTTTTGTTTATCTTTTTGGTCGATTTGTGTCTCTTTGTGGTCATTTTCCATCTTTTTTTTGTCATTTTGGGTGTTTTTCTGCTCATCTTACATGTTTTGTGGTCATTTTGGGAGTCTTTTTACGTTGTTTTGCGACCACTTTGTGTGTCTTTGCAGTTGTTTTGTCTCCTTTTGGGATGTTTTGTGTCTCTTTGTGGGAGTTCCACATCTGTTCATGGTCATTTGTGTCTCTGATGATGTTTTTAGTCATTTTGTGTCTTCTAGTGGTTGTTTCATGTCTCTCTGTGTCCATTTTGTTTAGCTTTATGGTCATTTTGCATCTCTTTGTGTGTCTTTGCTCTACATTTGTGTCTCTGTGTGTTTTTGGTCTTTAAATGGTGACTTTGGTCTCTGTCTGGTTATTTTGTCTCCTCTGGGATGTAACTTTGACTCTAGTTTCCTGTTCCTGAGGCTCCTGATCGATCCAGGTGTCCACTGATCTACACCTTTAATGTGAGCCTACAGAAAGTTTCCGTCTCCTCCTGAACATGCTGCGGTGTCGGACCAACCGGTTCTGGTTCTGTCTTCTCCCGGCTCGTAGCCTGGACTCTCAGCTTCATCATAATGATGATGCTAATGATGCGGCCGCCTCCGCTCAGCGCAGAGCGACTGAAAGGCCGCCCACGCGCTCCATCACCGCGGCCTCGACCTCTCCTTCCTCCTCCTCCTCTTCTTCCTCCTCGCCCCGGCAACCGGCTTGGCATCCCATAGTGGTCGCCGTGGCAACGCCGTCTGTCTGGAAGGGCTTGTGGGAGAGAGAGGAGAAAGTTTCTCCCGTCGTCCTCTCCGGCCGACACTCGGGCCGCCCACGCACTCGTCCCGCTCGCCGCACACACCTGAGTGGGCGCCCGCAGCCCGCCGTTGCCCGGCAACAGCGTGCTCAGTGAGCTCAGTCCAACTTTGAAAGAAACTCTGACATTTAACACAAGCAGCTTCTTCTCTTCCTCTCCTTCAGGTTCCTGCTCTGCTTCCTCAGCTTCTGCCACTTCAGTGAGAAGCAGATTGTGTTTGTGCTGAAGGAAGCACGGAGCACCAATCAGAAGCCAGAGAAATACAAAATAAAGCAGCAGAAAAGTTTAATTCATTCTGAGTCGACGCAGCTTTGACCAGTTAAAACGTCCTGATTTAACTACAGGACACATGATTTATGTAATTTAATGTTGAAAAGCCCGCATGTACGATCTCTTTTAACACCTTTGAGCTTTTACTTTGAAAGTGCGTCGATCAGCCAATCAGCTGTGAGTCAGCGGCTGCTGCAGTGAGCAGAGCAGACCCAGGATCAGACCCGCCAACAAACGGTCACAGCTCAGAAACTACAAGTCCTATCGAGATGGTTCCTTCACCGTTTGAAGCATAATCTTGTTTTCTCCACGCTGATGTATTCTCGTGTCCGTACGGCGCGTCGTACAGATTTGGCAGCAGGTTGAAGAGACTCGCCGATATAATGGGAGTGAATGAGTTGAAGCGTCACACTCTGAGGTTGTTCATGAGAACATCATGAATCCAACAGTCATGAAGGTCACGCTGGTGAAAGAGGACAAACATGCCAACATGTTTATGGATGAATTGTTCATGTGGAGGAGAAATTATGAAAAAGACAAAACTGACTGCACCTGAAATAAAATGTTAGAAGTCTGACCCAAGAAAAAATCTGGATTTTCATAAAACTTCAACAACATCTGCACAAAAACCGTCAAAGATATCAGGACGTGGATTCAGAGGAGCAATGTTTGAAGCCTTGTGAGACGTTTAAACTCTGAATTAAGCTTCTGGTGTGAAACATGTCGGAGCTACAGGATGTCAGAGACGGCTCAGATTCCACTTCCTGTTCATTCCAATCAGGATTTTTTAACACATTTTTGTAAAATCTGCACAAAGAGTCGCCTCCAGAAGGGCGAGCGAGGTGCCCAAAGTCCCGTCGGAGGTGTGTGTGAGAAGGATGATCCT